GGTTGTCAAGTCGAAGACTTTGTGATGACATGAATCCGTCAGCTAGCCAAACAAGACATTTATGATATATATATATACAATAATGCTGAATTCAGCTAGCCAAACAATGGAAAATTAAAATCAAATTTACTAAATAAGGAGTTTTGGAATATGGTCTAAGGGAGTTGATGAACACCTGTTATAGTTGAACTCACATGAGCACTCAAGAATCTCATTTTTAGACCGATATTTCTGCACTACCTTGACTAGAGAGTCTATGAAGCTTGAAAAAATGAAAGATTTTAGAGAACTGAAAAAAAGTGTTTTAAAGAGTCTAGTAATTGACTATGCTAGTTACGACATTTTGTCCACCTCCGATCAAAATGACAAACCAAGAAAGAGGGGCACACCATGATCTTCACGAGGACCAATCGATGAAACAAACCTTAAAAGTTGGGTAGCCAACCTTAAAACCAACCTGTCAATCTTGATATTTGTCAAATATTTGTAACTATCAAAGATAAAAAAGAACATTTGATTATTTTGATATTCAACAAACTCCTGTTTTATGATTTGCTTCAATTTTGAAACCTAGAAGGAGGCAATATTTTTCAAAATTTTGAAAATCCAAAGGAAGAAAAACATTTTCAAACAAGATAATCTCTCTGGAGGCATATCTTGGAATTCAATGAATATCTCTCTAAAGCTTAAGATCGAAGCTGGGGCAAGATAAGAAAAAGTTTTGGGGAAAATTTTGATGGGGCAAGGAAAACAAATTGTCTAGGTTGAGGTTTGCAAGAGTACACACTAGTGGAAATGCAGACAAACTGAATCAATGATAGAGTGAAGACTGCTCTCGCAACCATTCTCCTAACAGATTAAGAAAAAAAAAACACACACACACACAAATGTAGACAAACTGAATCAATGATAGAGTGAAGACTGCTCTCACAACCATTCTCCTAACAGATTAAGAAAAACACACACACACACACACACACACACACACACACACACACACACATACGTGATACATACAATTTGCATCAAACATTTATCATCATGTGTATTAAAGACATTTTTCTCCCCACTTCAGGAAAAATTCAATAAAAAATAAAACAAATTTCATCTTGACATCCATCATAACATCCAAGATAGTTAGTCAAAAATGCATCATTTTGATCTCTCGGGAAATCAAAGCTCGTAAATGACCAGATGTCTTTGAGGGTGTTTTTCTTGAAACAAAAATGATTTGACTTCCTGAAGTCAACAATCAAGACATTTCCTCAATATGCAAAAACAAGCAGACTTTCTATCGCCTTTGAGGGTGTTTTTCTTGAAACAAAATTCTGTCTCTCTTGAGACATTTTTCCAAAAATTTTGTCTCGCTTAAGACATTTTTTCCTCTGAGATACAAATTTAATTTGTTGTACTTGAAACAAAATTAATCTCACTTGAGATTTTCAAAATCGATTTGTCTCGCATGAGACAATTTTCCCTTTAAAGAATACAAATTCTGAAGTTGTTTCACTGGAAACAAAGAATATAATCTTTGAGTCTATTTCTTTAAGAACAAATTTTGTCTCTCTTGAGGCAGTTTTTAATGAAAAACCAACCTTTGAGATTGTTTCCTTTGAAACAAATTCTGTCTCACTTAAGACACAACCCATCTTTGAGTTTGTTTATTTGGAAACAAAAATTTGTCTCTTGAGACAGTTTCTTTTCAGAAAAAAATCTTTGAGTTTGTTTCATTTGAAACAAAATTTTGTCTCTCGAGATGGTTTCTTTTGAAAACACTTATTTTGAGTCTGTTTCCCTTGAAACAAGTAAAGAAATATTTGAGTATGTTTCACTTGAAACAAAACAAAAATCATCTTTGAGTTTGTTTCCCTTGAAACAAAACAAAAATCTTTGAGTTCGTTTCCCTTGGAACTAATTTTATCTCTCTTGAGACTTTTTTTTGAAGCATCATCTTTGAGTCGGTTTCTCTTGAAACCATTATCACTAAAGATGATCAGTCGTCCTCATCACATAGGAACCGAGTTATCATTCCTAAAGATGGTCTGCCATCATCATCAAGTAGAAACCGTGTCATCCATCGACCAAACCTCCTCATCACGTAGGAGCCGCGTCACCCCTAGATAACCAGCCATCCTCATCACGTAGGAACCGAGTTATCACCCTTCCTGAAGATGGCCAGAACTCTTCATCATGTATGAGCCGTGCATCCACCGACCAGATCTCCTCATCAAGTAGGAGTCTTGTCACCTTTAGACTACCATACCTCTTCATCACGTATGAGTCATGGCGTCCCCAAATCAAACACTATCAAACATCAAATTTTAAACCAAGAAAGAGAACCGGACAAAAACTCGTCGTCTTTTCATTTTTGCCCTATTCTTGTTAACACAAGAATGTGCAAAGAAGGGGCAGCTGTAGACACCCGTTTTTTTCCGGGTTATCATTTTATTATTATTATCATTATTATTATTGTTATTATTTAATACATATTTTACATTTTGCATGCCTCAATTACCAACCAGCCCAAAGCCCAACTGTACAATTATAACACCCAGTTCAGACCCCAAACACCAAGCCCAATAGTACCCCAGGAAATCAACCCGAACCAAGCCCAGCTACTCCAGATCCGACCCGTCCAAGACCAAAAGGTTGACCCAAACCCACTAGGATTTTTCCACATTAGCAGCCAGCCGCTCAGGATTCAAACTGTTGGATCAAATTTGATCAAACGGTCCAATATCACTTCATATTAGGGTATCAACAGTAGCTGCCACCGTTTGCTGAAGCTTATTCGTCCATCACCGTTTCGACTCCAGACGCGCGTGCACCCCACCCTTAGCCTTCTCAGCCGCGTGATCCATCGCCATCGTAATCAACGTAATCCGAATAGTACCCAAAACATCATCAAGTCAGAGAAATCAACCAAAATCCAAAACCCTTGTAAAAAAATTAATAAATCCTGAAAAATTCGAGATTTTTCAGCAACCCATATCAAAGGAAATCATAATATACTATTAGATCTAATTATCTAAGCTACATGCAGAGGATAAAAAAGAAAAAAAAGAAGAATGAGGGGGACATTCGGTGAGAGGAAAAAAGGGGAAGAAATCCGAGAGAAAAGAGAAATTGAACAAAAAAAATTAAACACAAGGAAAAAAAGAAAAAAAAAAAACAGAAAGCTTACCCCCTTCGTTTGATTGGAATCTCATCGGAGTACAGAGAGTTTACCACCGGATATAAAACCTTCTCGTTCTTAGGTTTGTGGGTGAGTTTGTGTTTTGGGTATTGGTTGTGTTTTTAGAAAGGGAGAGTGAGGGGTGAGGTCGAGGTTGGTTTTGAATTTGTTTACAAAGCCGTCGCCATCGCATCGTTGTGGCCATGGCTGTTTCTGGGTTTCTTCGCGGCGGAGGAAAGAAATGGGGGAATAAAGAGTTGAGAGAATGATTCTCTCTCTCTCCTCGGGCTTAAGGGAAACCTAACAAATAAATATTCAGTCGTTTAGTGTTTAGGTTTTTGATATATATATATATAGGTTGTAAAACGGAGAAGTTAAGGGGTTAGGGGCTGCATGTTTTGACGAAAAGGGATATTATCAATTTCAATCCCTTGCCTTTTGAAAGTTCCCTGTGTTTTTAAATTTAAGGGCTAATAACAACTTTGGTCCTCCTAGCTCTGTAATCTCAGTGTTTTTATTTATAGGGGTAAATTGTATTTTAGGTCCCCCATATTTGTAATGTCTTGTTATTAGTCATTAAATGAAGTTATGTTTTATTTTAATTTGAGCACTAATGTTTCATTATTTGTATTTTAGTCATGTTCTTATTTATTCTGTTATTATTGTTAATGTTCGAATTGGGTCACAAGATTTATAGTTATTTCGTTTTAGTCACCATTTTTCATGTGGTTTAATTATCAAATAGGCCTTCATGTTTCTTTTTAATGTATTTTAGTCCTAAGCTTGATTTAGGGGTTATCTTCGATTCCAGTACCTATATTTTGTAATATTTTCAATATTGAATCTGGTTTTTTATTATTGTTAGATCCTTAAAGTTACTATTATTTCCATTCTGGTCCTTGTAATTACCTAATACTTACTTTTTTGTCATTTGTATTTTGGTTTGTAGTATGCAGTTGTTTTCATTTCCCCCTTATTTATGTGCACATTGGTATTTTTAAATATGTAAAAAATGGAAAATTTAATGGTGAGGGAAATCTACGAAGACTTCTCCCAAATAAAGGGAAGATGTCTTTTTGAGTATTTTTCACACAAATTTTGTTTTATGTTCGATAATTTTATTCGTTCCACGTTTATTTATTTTGTGTATTTTTTACCGCTTTTCACTTTTATTTTGTTTTATTTTATGGTATTTTATCTTTGCAAAAATTGCGATATAATGTCTGTAGTTAGGGGAATCTGTGGGAAAGTCTCCTAACTGTAAAGAAAGTGCTTTCCCGAAGATTGTTCACACAAAATGACATTAATTATCCAAAAATTGACTCTTTTTGAATAAAATCAAATGAATAAAAGCATCGTAATTTAAATATATTTTCAAGTTCATAATTTCCAATATTTAAACACCGTATAATCGTTTAGGTACCAAAATTTGGGCGTTGCGGGGGTGTTCAACCTTCCCCACACGTAATCGACTCTCGGACTCTTAAAAACGAATCTTTGGTAAAATGCAGATCATTTTTTATCATTTAAGGTTTCCAACTTACCTAATTTAATGGTTGGTGGCGACTCAAAAATCAAATTGTTTTCAAAATCATATTTCATCACTTTTTCCCGAACTAATTTTTTAAGTCTAACGGATCCCGGGAGACGTTATAACAATCAATGATGAGGATTCCAACTATTTACTTTTATGCATCCTTTCAAATCTTCTTCAAAAGGAAACTTTCGTATTTATGTTTAATCTTATAACTTTCTCATACCGAGCTCTGGGAAATATTTCTTCAGGTTGCTGGTTATGTGGTAAGCTTAACCCGAAAGGAAAGTTATGGGGAATTTCAACACAATACATGCTGGTAAAGGGTACGTGAAGCGTCTTCTGTAATTACAACCGGCATTATTGATCGAGTATTGGTCTTAGTTTTTGCAGGAAAAGATCCAAGTGTAAGAGAAAACCAGCAGGGATTCATGATGGAATAAAGACAGTGAGGGCAGATAATCTCTGCGACTTCTCAAGAAACTCCGACCTTTGCATTTGCGTAGTAACTTGGAACATGAATGGACAGGTTTAAATTAATCGCTTCTTGTAATCTTAATGATTCTTTTTATCATCTTTCTTTCAGATTAATAATATATGTACTCCTCTAATTAATTAAGGTTTCATATGAAGATCTGGTGGAGCTGCTGGGGAGCAACCGGAGATGTGATCTACTTGTGATTGGCTTGCAAGAAGTTCCACGAAAGAACCTTGAACGGTTATTGCAGGATGCTCTAAGTGAAACTCACGAGTAAGCTAAACAACTATATTTCTTTCTTGCCTTCTTTGTAAGTGCTAACTAAGGCTTCACATTTAATCTTGCATATAGATTGTTAGGGAAGGCAACTATGCAGTCTCTGCAACTATATGTGTCCCGGCCAAAGAATTCAGAGTTGTTCATCAGAGGTTAGAGTCTGTCATTTTGGTGTGATATCCATTTTTCCCCGTTGTTGTAGCTTAGAATTGATTTGTTTTTGTTCATGGAAAATATAGAGCATAAAGTAGATAAGCATTCTGTTGGAGGGTGTGGAGGAATGATGAGGAGAAAGAAAGGGGCAGTGGCAATCAGTATGAACTACAAAGGATTCAGAATGGTGTTTATCACTTGCCATCTCTCCGGTAAGCCATGTTTTATTCAGTTATCAGCATCATTAACCATGGTTTTCAGAACCGGACTGGTTAGCGAACCGGTCATGCTACTGGTTCACTGGTTCAACCGGTCCGACCGGTCGGAAGAACCGGACGACATCATAATTATTTAAAAAATTAAATAAAAATACCAAAAATATTTAATAAAAAATAATTTTTTATATCACAAGTCATATTCAAATCAAGTCATAACATATATAAGTTAAAAACCATAAAATCAAGTGAAACAAAATGATTCAAATTAACTACAACATAATATTTAAGGTAAAACATATTAAATAATAAATATAATTATATAACTATAATTAAAAAATAATTTTGGGGCTAAAAAAATCATAACAAAATGATATTTGTTTAGTTTAATTTTTTTTAAAAATAATCCCACATGGCTAAGAAACATAGAAGAGCATCCCAAAAGCCTAAAGAGTAAAAATATGAGAATAAAACAATCCCACATGACTAAGAAACATAGAAGAGCATCACAACTAACTTCTATAAATAATAGAGGTAATTTGACATTCAAAATCATGAAGCCTTTTGGTGAGCATTGAGTGAACTATTCTTTCACTTCAATTAAGCTCGAATTTTAGGCTTCAATCGAGCTTCTATTTTTTTTGAGTTCAAGCCTTTTGAGTTCAAGTTTCAATATTATATTTCTAGTTTGAGTTGAACTTGATAATTTTTAGCTCGTGAGTTTGAGTCGAGTTGAGCTTACTTTTAAAGTTTTCGAGTCGAGCTCAGCAATTCTCGAGTTTGACTTGGCTCGTTTAACAAACGACGTCGTTTGGTTTAATTTTTTAAAAAAAAAAACAAAATTTCCGGTTTTTCGGTTTTCAGCCGGTTCGGTTCGAACGGTTCAATGGTTCTAGCCGGTTCACTAGTAGCGGTTCAACCGGTGTAGATTGAACGGACTAGGCAACGGTTCCTGGTTGAACCGGCCGGTCTGGTCCGGTTTTCAAAACAATGTCATTAACCAGACAATATGTAACATCCCAAACTACGGGTTAATGACTAAATTGTAAAAATTTCAGAATATGGTGATTAAAGTAGAATAGTTGAATAGTTTAATGATTTATGTGTAGATATTTCCTGAAAGTTATTAGTAAATATTAAAGGAGTAAAAGGGAAAATAAGTAATTGAAAAGGAAAATAATTAAATAATAATTAATGGGTATTATAATACCCATGTGGATAATGACTGAAGAGATAAGCTTCAAAGCAATTCTCTTCTTCATTCTTCTTCTCCACGTGAAAACTCAAAGCAAAGGTGAGTTCTCTAATTTCTGATTTTATTTTAAGCATGAGTTTTGATCCTTAGAGGATAACTAAGCTTAAGGAAAGCTTAAGTTATCTTAAAATCAAAAGATGAAGAAGTTATAAGAGATTTAAGAAAACGAGTTTTTATATGAAATCATGGAATAGAGTTGATAAGTTGAATTTTAAGTTGAATTTGACTTGTCATCTATGAGAATAAGAAGATAGAAGTGTTAGAATTGTATTTAGAACATATGGAAAATTGAGTATGATTCTTGAATTTCATATGAAGGATAGGAGTTTGAAGTTATAGATGATTTTCATGGATATAAGTTAGTTTAAGTAATGGTAGTTGAGTTTAATGACATGGTAGGGGTTTAAAATAGAAGAATTGAAGGAAAAATTGATGATTTTTGAGCTTAAAATACAATTTCTAGGTAGAGGGAATCGATACCCTATGAATGGGAATCGATTCCCCCTCTTGAACGAAAAATTCCAGTATGTTCAGGGGGTATCGATTCCCCTGGGGGGTATCGATTCCCCCCTAAATGAAAATATAGAATTTGATTCATTAAACCGGTTTAAGTTATTAACATCAAGTTTAAAGTTTAGGCTTCTGATAGTTGTTTTGAAATGATATATTTATGTAGATATTGAGCCTAAACAAGTTCCGAAATAATCAAAGGATTATAATCGAATCAAAGCAAGGCTAAGGTGACTGCAATTTAAATTGTACTTATGTGATTAATCAAACATTGGCTTGCGATGAGTCAATGATAGAGTTACTATGGTAAGAAGTAACTTATATAATGTTATGTGATTACTATGTGTGCATTAGTACATAAAAATGGATGTATGTTTATATGTTACATGATTTACATGCTTACGTGAAAATGCAACATATGATATTAGATATATGTTTACACATACATGTGGTATGTGACAGAAGAGAAGGAACATGTGATTATGAGATCAATGATTACACGTTCATGTGATACGTGACTGAAAAGAAAAGATATGTGTTTATAAGAGAAAGAATATGAATAAGTAATGTGAACTGTTATAAATGATAATGCCCATGTTATGTGATATGAGAGCTAGGGGTATAGTTGGCATGCCAAGGGTCGAGGGTTAACCTATGTTCTTCGGGACATATGGACTGTTTACCTATGTTCTTCGGGACATATGGACTGATTACCTAGGTTCTTCGGAATCTATGGACTGGTCCTTCGGGACATTTATACGAGCTGTTGTGAAAGCATAGTGGTGCACAACCTCAATGTACTCACATACCTTAAGTTCTCAAAAGTATACATGGGCTAATACATGGTCTTTACAGAGAGTAAATAAATAAATTGATTTGCTACTATGTATGTTTTGGTGTGAAGTAGTATATGTGTTCCATGGTATGTAGAGAAATGTTCGATATATATATTTATACGATAAAAAGGTATTAAAAGTACTTGTATTATCTTATGTTATCATGTATACTGAATTATATGCGACACGATTGAATTCATAGATTGAATGTTTATATTTATGAGAAATGCATTATTATTATGTTTTTGCTTCACTAAGTCTATGACTTAGCGTATAAGTGATTTACACGTAGGTACTGGGAAGCAGAATGATCAAAGCTAAGTTCAAAGTAACAACATATCTCTGCTCAAAGATCAGATCAGAAGTAAATTACACAGTATGTATTATTATGTGATAAATAGGTTGCCATGTAAATAAAGTAGGTAAATTAGGTATTTATGCTCTGATCGAGTTTTGTAATATTTTAAACATATTTATATAAGTATAAATGCAAAGAAATGAACGGTTAAATTTTTACGAGTGTTATGTACAATTTACGAAAATCACTGTAGCACTGTAGCAGGTTACTGTAGTACTGTTCATATCGTATTTCACCGTTCATGAACACGTTTTTATCTCAAAATTTTACCAAACATAATTGAATAATGTATGATTGTATTTTCTTAATATAAATTCAAATGTTCAGTTATTTTACAAGAATAAAGGTTTTGAAAATGTCAATATGACATCTCGGACTCGTATCCAGGTCAGGCACGGGTTGGGGTGTTACATTTAATGGTATCAGAGCTATGGTTTAGCCGATTCTCGGCATAAACAAGAGTCTAGGGTGTCTTATAATGTATACATGCCAACAAAATAGTGAAAACTTCTGATATGGTATAATAATGAGTATGTTGTTTTGCTAATAGAACGATATGTTTATTCTTAATAGATGTCCGGACATGATAGTTATAGAAGTCAAGCAGGAGATGATCGGCCCGCTGAGAGCAGTAATTCACCTGCCCTGCCAGGCAAAGTGAAGAACAAACACCTTCTGGAGTGCCTGTAACTGATCAAGATGTGTTCTTTAGAACATTAGATGCGGTATTGACGCGTTTTCAACCTCCTGTTACTTCAACTCCAAGAATGAATGTTGCAAAGGAGTTGTGAAGCCGAAGAAGGTCCTGTTGCTGCGGACCTTTGGCTTAATGATGTAAAAATTATGTTAGATGGACTCCACTGTTCTAATGTAGAGAAGTTAGATGGAGAGGTCTCCTTACTTCGTGGGCAAGCGAGAATTTGGTGGACAAATGTCACTTTGAGAATGACCAATGATCAAGTGACATGGTCTTTGTTCTTAGAAGAGTTTAAGCATAAGTATATAGGAGACCAATTTATCAGGCAAATGAAGCAAGACTTTTTGAATCTGAAACAGATGAATCGCACAGTGTATGAGTACGAGTGCGAGTTTAATAAGTTAAGTCGTTTTGCGGCTGAGTTGATCCCAACAGAGAATGATGTGTGTAAGTGGTTTGTAGAGGGCTTGCGCCCAAGGTTGAAAGAAATGTTAATAGTATTGAACTTGTCCTCGTTTCAAGAAATAGTAAATCGTGCTAAAGCTCTAGAGAGAGCTCAGAATGAAAGGGTTGGGGATCAAAGAACCTAATCATATAAAAGAACCGATGCTTTATCGAGTTCTGCACCACCCAAGAGGGGTAGAGATTCTGGTACTCAGTCTCAGGCAAGGTCTGGATTGGTAGAATCCTTCGTTAGAGAATCAAATCAGAGGAAAGCTAGACAGACCCAATCAGTAGGGTTTGGTGAGGACAGAACCCAACAGAGACATTGTCAGACTTGTGGAAAATATCATGGTGGAATATGTAGGGTAGAATCCGGAGCTTGTTTCCGATGTGGTGAAATGGGACATTTTGTGAGAGATTGCCCATTGGGGAAAGGAGAACCAGTACTGTCGGAACGATCTGCTTCGATACCTTGGAGAGGGAGAGGTAGAGGAAGAGGTAGGAGCCAACCTGAATCCTCTACTCAACAAGAAATACGCTCCACTGCTCGAATTTATAATATTAATACCAATGAAGATTTTGATGATCCGGAGATAATAGCATGTATCTTTCTAGTGTGAAATAAATACATTATGATAATGATTGATTTAGGCTTGCATGTTCATATATTAGTAGTAAATTGGTGAAAGAATTGAGAATTCAATTAGAAGTTATTTATAGTAGTATGATAGTGACAAATTTATTAGGGTATAGTGTGTGGATAAGTAAGATATATTGAAAGTGTCCCATTATAATTCAGAGAATTTAATTTATTACTAAATTGATGAATTATTATTCAATGAATTTGAAGTAAGATTGGAAATAAACCAGTTTTATAATTACCATAAAAATTTCAATTATAATTGAAAAGAGTAGAGTTAAACAGTTTAGATGAATTGGAAATTATAATGTTAGAGGATTTATATCGTTCTGAAATAGAATAGTTTCTTTGCTGCATTGATAAGATAAGGTAGAGGGGATGATTCTTATAAGGAGAATATTAAAAGATCAAATGATGCAGAATATTGTTATAGAAAAGTTTAAGAATATGTACATCAGTGATCAGTTTATAAGACAAAGGAAAATGGAATGGTTGAATCTGAACCATAAAAAATATTATATGGTAATTAGAGATTAAAAAAATAAAATAAAATAAAAATAGATGGATTATTGGTATGGAGTGATGAAAATAGAGGTTACTGTCTATATAATGAGTTACATTATATGGATTTTAGAAAGGTTAAAGTAAAATGCATTGGAGACGTGTAGACAGTATCTTATCTCCTGGAGCAATTAAAATTCGAGGGGGGAAGATTTGTAACATCCCAAACTACGGGTTAATGACTAAATTGTAAAAATTTCAGAATATGGTGATTAAAGTAGAATAGTTGAATAGTTTAATGATTTATGTGGAGATATTTCCTGAAAGTTATTAGTAAATATTAAAGGAGTAAAAGAGCAAATAAGTAATTGAACAAGGAAAATAATTAAATAATAATTAATGGGTATTATAATACCCATGTGGATAATGACTGAAGAGATAAGCTTCAAAGCAATTATCTTCTTCATCTTCTTCTCTTCTCCATGTGAAAACTCAAAGCAAAGGTGAGTTATCTAATTTCTTGATTGTTTGTTGATTTTAAGCATGAGTTTTGATCCTTAGAGGATAACTAAGCTTAAGGAAAGCTTAAGTTATCTTAAAATCAAAAGATGAAGAAGTTATAAGAG